ATTTTCTAGTCGAGGTTTTTGCATTTTTTGGGGGTGGAGTGCCCTTATGTATCCACTACATAGTGACTGGTATGTCGCCTGTGAAAATCGCCAAAAAATAACTGTCATTGTTTGCCACTGACAAGTTTCTTTCCATACCGATTTATCTTCTTTCTCCTGTACTTCAACTTGAATCTCTTCTTTATAAATTTCAACTTCTTCTTCTTGCCTATAAATTTCTTCATTCTTAACTTCTTTCTTGATTTCAACTGCTTCTTCGACTTGTTTCTGTTAAACCTCTTGTTTATAATTCTCAACTTATAGTTCTTCTTTTACACCATTTGATTCTTTTACCTCGACGTCTATTGGAGCATCCGCTTCCGGACCGACATCCGGCACTTTTACATCAAGAACTTTCGACGGGCTATTATAGTTTCAACTACTCTATCACATTTCACATCAACCGTTAAATATTGGTTTGAGGGAAACCAACTTACAGCCCTCGAAAAAGTACGAATTGTTTTGGATTCTACGTACCAAAATTAATAAGAAAAAGTGTTTTCCCGAGAAATTTTGGTGCAGTCGATTTTTGGTAAAAAAGGAAGGGTTATACACTGCCTTTTTTTGAGGCCCGAAAAAAAAATTGTCTCAGATCGACCCGGAAAAAAAATTTTCTTGTGGCCTGTAGAATCCATAATTTCAAACAGTTCCAAGATTGGGCTACTAGTTCAAAAGTTACAGGCAAACCATTCACTAACCTTCGTTGCCCTATCATTGGAAAGCTCTTCCGTTTACAGTTTGAATTGTAATGGATGGTTCAGTTACCAACAGATTCAGAATTGAAGCTGTAAACGTGTCTGTGCCATTTCAAAAACATTTGATGAAATATTAACGATAGTGATCACTAAAAATGTGTTCCAAATTATGTTAAATCAATTCTGAACCAAATAAAGTTAGCCATTATTTACCAATAAGTGAAGTCATGTTAGTGTGCAATGTAACGGGAGGAACTAATTCGTAGTGCAATTAAAAAAAAGTTTTTCCTGTAGGTGAGGAACAGAACACCCATCGCAACACATTTGTTACCGGGGCCCTTACAACAGCATTCAATGCGGTCAAAATATGTCCCAAATTAAAGAATTAAAAACTTTCCAACTAAATGTCATCTGCCAAATTGCGCAATCTCTCCAAAATCTCTAAATTTCACTTTAAAAAAAGCAATATTTTACAGTAGAAAAGCTTTTAAAACGTAAATATGAACAATTCGATGTTGACGAATGGCGAATCTCATATTTTTTGCTGGTTTAATGACGAAAGGTGAGATTTACGAAGTATATCCACAGGGGGAAATTCCTGTCACCTTTGTGATTGTATCACAACAAACAACTTTCACCTACATTATAAATTCAGAACTTTCTGTCGTCACCGGTAACAAAATTGCGATATGGAAATTAGTACTAAACCGTTTAACGCTGTGGATTTTACGGATTACTGTAAACTTTACCGGAATATCAGTTTTCTAATTGTTGTAGTAAGCCGAGGAATCCACGCTTTGTGTTGTCTCGCAATCCCAGAAAAATAAAAGGTACACGATATCTTTCCTGCTAGGGTAATATGAAATCTTTGCACGCAAAGCAAAAAATTTCAAACTATTCTTGAAGTTTCCAATAAGAAAACGAAAGCATGAAACAATTGTATAGGAAAACGGTGTAGTAAGCGCACACGAACTAGCATTTTTATTAATTATAATGTGGCCCTTTTCAATTTCTCTTGATCATTTTTATGCTCTGTTCGTGTTCGAAAACGATTTGTGTGGTTTCAGAAGCTACATAAGAATTTTAATTCCACGATCGGGGTTGCCAATCTTCCGGCGTACCCCATTAAAATTGTTTTTATTGTTAGCTCTAAGTACTCTCCTATACTAAAAATATAATCTTATCATCGGTCTACAGAGGTAAATCTTCCCTCATGACGGTTCGATTTCACAAATGATACTTATATCTCGTAAATTCGTATCCACTTTATGGATTTTGATTGCATACATACTGAATGGAGTAAAAGCGATTTCCAGCATTACGAAGGGACAAAGCTAACATCACGTAAGATCAATACTTCCGTGAATTATTGTAAACGGACGAGAATTAGGAATCATCAGACCTGACTGATGAATTCGAACCGTTCGAACGTACCGGTAAAATAGGGGTGGGCGTTTGCCGCATAAAGCTCTATCAGTTGTCAAACTTAACGATAAAGCTTCCTTAGTTTTTACTTTTCCTATGGAAACGTATTGGTTTACTGACACAAATTTGTGTTTAATGTCACGGCTCCTATTTGTGATTTACCTGATAACCAAGGTAAGCTGGGATTTGATATTATCTTAATGGAGGATTGTTAATTTGTAATTGTTTTATAAGTGCACAAATTGTGCCCGATTGGACCCATCAAATTTGCCTTTGACTCCTCCACTAAAGATACTTACACTACAATAATTTCACCTAGCATTTTGAGACTCGTCGAGTTATGTTCATCCATATAGTGGACCCAAAAAATGCCCCCCTTTTGACTGAAAAGTGCTATTGTTCTTGGAGAGTACGTGAATATTTCGCGTCGTACTTTGACGTGACAATTGTACCACTTACAGAGTATTTTCTGTTCCTACAATATGCGATTCTACTACGTTGACGTGTTCTGGTAAAATCCCATACAGAACCTTACAGAAAACGTTTTTCAAGGTAATTTTTCATTGTAAGTATCAAAGGTCGGAAATTATCTTTAATAAGGAATAAAAATTGCAGCTTTAAGTACATGCTGCATACAATTTAAAATTTTCATTCTCAGTTTACATCTTCTAATTTCCGCTCGTGACCTGCAAGGCTTTGGCAAACATTATATTGTGTTATGATAAAAAAGTACGCCCTTTGAACAATGTAATGCGATTTGCTTGGATCTTGAATAAAACAGAAAATTCATTACTCTGTTCAGAAAGCTCACAAAGATAGGATTTAAATTGAGAAAAATGAAATTTATGAAGCTTTGTCTTTTAAGGCAGTGCAATTTTAAAGTGCACATCGGGCTGGCTGTTTGCAAAACAGATAAGATCGATAAAAAGTAATTATAGTGATCACATTCCTCTTGCACCTTATTACAAGCGTGATGTTACTAACTCTTTCCTTATACAGGAACCATGTTTTCACAAGAAGTCTGTTTGAATGCGCCACAGCCCTTGAGATTCTGCAGATTCCGAGTTCTCCAATCAGTCACCACGTAGTGAATAGTAAGAAGTAATTGAAGATCGATACAGTTCTCGTGGAAAGGTCATTATCGTCTTTCACTTACAATAGGCAATGCGGTTGTTAGTACATCACTCAACAACAAAGCACAGAAGTTAACCTCAAGACGAATATACTATGACACCAATTTGAGGTCACTTGAGTGTCACTTAAGAATGTATACAAACTCCAATAAGTATGTAAAGTTATTGAACTTCTTGAGAATGTTTCTAGAATAGTTTCGAAAGTATAAGACAAACAAAAACTCGGGAATTTTTATACGATTGGCGGTGAAATTGTACATTGATGTGCATTTTTTTGATGTATTGCTGGAGGCCGTAATACTTGTACAACTGTGTAAGTTTTTTGAGAGATCATTACCCCTTTCCAAAAAATTGAGCTACCAGAGTACAGATATATTAACATTTTCTCTATTTATAATATGCTTTTCTTGGACGATAATTGACTTTTAAACATGAATACTTATAAGTGGCATTCTCACATGCTGGATGCTGCCTTGCTTTTTTGTGCACGCAGTTTTCCATTTTAAGAGTTGTTTTGTCTAAATTGATCGTAGATTTGTTTAATATGTTTTTGTACTGAATTAGTCGATCATGTTGTCTACTTTTGTGTTTCGTTCTTGTTGATTGAAATGCATTTGATTCGATTACCTGAATTGATTCATAGTGATTTCCACTTTTATTTTATATGATGCCTCTAGTGTCTAATAAAATTCCAATCGGGAAAAGAGGGATGATAGCTTAATTTCAAGATACCATCCCCACCTTAAAAATCGGTTTTCTGGCGAAACTAAGAGGGCACAAATTCTAATTTTGTGGGTACAAATTAGTCCTTAATTTATACCTTGCATTTCGTTTTATTAATTCTGAGAATTGCCCTTATTAAGTTACAAAAAAATATAAAAATAAATTGTTTCAACAAAGAAAGTTTAATTTGGCTACAAATTAGTCTTTATAATTCAAAGTTTTTGATGCAACTAATAAAATTTAAATCGGAAAAAACGCAGGTGCCAACTTTACCGACCTCAGATTTAGCTCTATGAGACTTATTTTAGTTGAAATATCTAAAAAATACCTCAACAGCCGCAAATGTTCTTTACATGATAACCTAAAAGTGTTCTTTGAAGCGCAAACAAATGATTTCCTGATGGAATGAAACATCTAAAGAAATACTATTAAATTAATGTAGATGTAGTGCAATTTTCTTCTTTGTGGGCAATTTCTCTGAAATTTTTAATGCCACCATAAAATTAATGTCCTTTCAAAAAGGGAAACTAATGTTTAAGGCGATTCTTGTAAAATAAAGTACATTTACTACGTTAAAGAAACACCGGTTTTACGTTAAATTGTTTTATTGATTAGTACAAAATCCTAAATTATTCGAGTGCGCGCCGTCGTAACGAGTGGTCGATCGCGATTATAAGTGTCAATTAAGAATAGAACTAATTTGTTAATATAAACCAAATCGTGAGGGTGAGTACCACCCATACTTGCCGCCGCAATGCCAACTGCAATCTGTGGTGTTTGTCGGGTGGATCTTAATCGTACAGATAAAGTTATTCTTTGTGCTAGTTGGTGCCAAACTTACTTTCACACGAAGTGCGTTAAAGTCAGTGACGATGAAGTTAAATTTATTAACTCAAAAAAGAACTTTAATTGGTTCTGTGACCCCTGCGCTATCCACGAATCACACAGCCTCAGGAATATCTTGACTAACATCAACAAAGTGACGATGAACTGGGATAGAGTTATGGAAAGTCAGCACGAGAAACTGATGAACCACGAGAAGCTATTAAAGGATACTTTAGACCAGGTAAATACCCAAAATGTCAGCATCAGCAAGGATCTAGCGCAAGTTCTCCAAACTCAATCTGAAGTGAAGCTTACTTATGCGGACAAGTTGAAACAGAAAACCTATGACCCAGTTATCATTGTTAAGCCCAAGGACGCGAACCAACCCTCCAAGCAAACCTTCACCACCCTCAAAGAAAATATCGGATCCAATTACCCGAGAAGTTACCGGAATGAAAACTCTACGTAGAGGAACCATTGTTGTTGAATGTAAAAATAAAGAAGCTGCAGCCAAACTTAAGGAGGAAGCCGAAACGAAACTGGGATCCGACTACATTCTTTCCTTACCAAAACAGAAGATGCCGAAGATTAAAATCGTAGGCCTCAATGACAAGATCGGGAGTACCCAAATGAAGGAAATGATTCTCGCGCAGAATCAATTCCTCGACGAAGCCGCGTACATAAACGTCGTACACATAACGGAAGATAAAAGAAATCCTAACAGGTATTTGGCTTACGCTGAGGTTGACGGTAATAGTTACCGGAAAATTCTAAGTGAACAAAAGCTTAACATAGGATGGGACCGTTGCAGAATTTATGATGCTGTGACAACTAGAAGATGCTACAAATGCAATGGGTTCGGACATAAGGCAACTGACTGTAGCAAAACTACTACCTGCCCCAAATGTGCGGGAGACCATGACCTAGCGAGCTGTAAAGCTTCGGACGCGGAGATCAAATGCAGTAACTGTGCCAACGCCGTTGAGAAACTAAAAATGAAACTGGATGTACAGCACCCGGCCTGGAGTGTTGATTGCCCAGTCTACAAAAAACGACTCGATCAAGAAAGAAGCAGAATTGATTTTTTAGGCCATCCCCAACACTAATCAAGCAAGGAAATAGGTACGGATCAACGCTCTCAATCTATTATCAGAACGTAAGTGGAATGCGAACGAAAGCGCAATCTTTCAAAAATAAATTGGCAATTACAAATTACGACATTATTCTACTGACTGAGACCTGGTTAACGGAAAATTTTCATGACGCTGAGTATTTAAACAATCAATATGCGGTCTTTCGCAATGACCGTAATTACGAAGAAATGAAGTGCACCATGGGAGGCGGAGTTTTAATCGCAGTCAAGACCGATTTGAATGCTGAAAAATTGGAATTTCAAAGTGATCTAAATGAAATATGGGTCAAACTTAAAATTAATAATACTTCATACATTATTGGTGTTGTCTACTTTCAACCGAAATCTGGTATTGATAAGTACGTGAGTTTTACCAAAAGTTTAGAAACAATTGAAAACATGTTGCATTCATCGGAAGTGTTAATAGCAGGCGATTTTAACCTACCACAAATTGTTGACGCCACGTATAATTTCGAAAACGCGAGTGCTAAATGCAAAGTAATTAAAAATATAGCTTCGATGTACAACTTAAAACTCATTAATACGGTTAAACTTAAAAACTGCAATAATAGAACCCTTGACCTAATTTTAACTAACTTAAACGCGGAAATTAAATCTGCTGTCGACTCACTGGATAAAATTAATCCACTTCATCCTGCACTAGAAATAGTCTACAAAGTCCATAGACCAGCTAAGCGAATTACCAAATTAACCAACTTCAATTTCAAAAAAGCAGATTTTGTTAAAATGTACGTCCTTTTTCGCGATATCAATTGGAAGGAGTCTCTTATCCTGAAGAATTTCAAATCGGTAGATGATGCAGTAACTAGCTTTAATCAAACGGTAATGAACATTTTCGATGAATGTGTCCCCAAAGTTACAATTAGGAGTGCCAATAAGTATCCTAGCTGGTTTAATATAGACATTATTAAGAAAATCAAACAGAAAAATAAGTTTCGGTTACAGGGCCCATCGGAAGACTTCATTGAAGCCAGAAAAGAACTCAAAAGAATGATCCACATTGCTCATAAGAGGTACATTAATCAAATTGAAATGGATCTGCGGAAGAATTCCAATAAATTCTGGAACTACATCAAGTCGTTGAGGAAGAATAGTCAACTACTTGGAGTTTTTGAGTACAAAGACACCTCGTTAACGGACGCCAGAAGCATTGCGGACGCCTTTGCATCCTTCTTCGAGTCAGTCTACACTATGGAGAGGAACGATGACCCGGAAGATGACGTGGAATCGGACCTGGTGCTATCCAAATTGCACTTGACTCAGTTACATGAATCCGAGATACTGGAAGCAATTAAAAAATTGAAACCGAGGTCGGCTATAGGCGAAGATGGAATCCCACCCTACATCGTGAAAGGATGTGCATCTTTATTGGTAACCCCCTTACAACATCTATTTAATTTAGCTTTGCAAACATGTACATTCCCTGAAGCTTGGAAATGCACCAGAATAACACCAATTCACAAAAGTGGAAGCCGAAAATTAGTTGAGAATTATCGCCCAATTGCAATTATACCAGCAATAGCGAAAATTTTCGAAAGAGTGATCTATACTAGACTTTATTCCCATCTCAGCAGTATAATTGCAGATCAGCAGCACGGTTTCACGCGGAACAGATCAACGATTACAAATTTAATGCAGTTTACGCATTTCTCAGCAGGAGCCTTGGATGAGAGAGCCCAGGTTGACTGTGTTTATACAGATTTTGCGAAGGCATTTGATACAGTATCCCATCAAGTCTTGCTCCGTAAACTTGTTTTAAATTGCGTAAGTAATCCGACCGTCAAATTCTTAAAATCATATTTATCTCTCCGTAAAACAAGAGTGAAATTCAATGGTGTGAATTCAGCCGAATTTTATCCCTCATCAGGCGTTCCCCAGGGAACACTTCTTGGTCCTTTTCTGTTTCTCTTATACATAAATGATTTACCGCGAGTGATAAAAAACTCGAAAGCACTACTATTTGCGGACGACCTAAAACTTTTTAATAAAGTCCAATCCCCAAGTGACTGTTTAAATATTCAAGAGGACATTAACTCAGTAATTAAGTGGTGTATCAAAAATAAACTAAAACTAAATATCAATAAGTGTAAAGTCCTTACTTTTACTAGATCGAAAAATCCCTTACTTTTTGACTATAAGATGAATGGAAAGGTCTTACTACGAGTCACCTCCGTTAAGGACCTGGGCGTGTTTTTCAATACCAACCTTAACTTTAACTTACACATTGAATACCTAACAAATAAGTGTTACAAACTTCTTGGTTTCGTTATCAGGCATACACTCAATTTCACGAATATACAGACAATGCTAACCTTATATAATGCGTTTATTAGATCCAAGCTTGAGTATGCTGCATGTATCTGGTCTCCTCAAACTCTCAAATACTCAGACATGATCGAAAAAGTGCAGAAAAAGTTCATCCGAGTAATGTTTTTTAGGTCAACCCAAAATTATCCACATTTGATCTCTTACGGTACCCAGCTTAATTACTTAAATAGTACTTTCGGCTTAGATATAACGAGGTTAGAAACCCGACGGTACATTGCCTCCACAATTTTTGTCTTCAAAATTTTACACAACTTGTTATACTCTTCCGAATTACTTCAAGAAATTAAGCTTAAGGTACCATTTGTTAAGCTAAGGCAAAATAATACTATTTTTGTAGTTAACAACACAACTTCCCCACTTATTAAGATCTTGATCGCTTTAAATAAGTTATCCTCAGTTAATGATATCGACTTTTTTCACGATCCCCTAAATTCAATAATAAATAAAATTAGATCCTAGTCCTAATATTTGTTCAGAGCCCCAGTGCCATGTAATTGGAATTTTTATTCTGTATGGTTTCTGGTTAAATAAATAAATAAATAAATAAATAAATAAATAAACTGTCAAACTTGAACAACGCTTACTTCATTTTCTACAAAATACTGCATTCACTTATAATGTTTTATTAACAATTCTCAATACGATAAAAAATTCGTGTTTATCGCTTGTTGCTCGTCGTTTGACGTTTAATTTGATGCAGAAACTTTGGCTTAAACTTCATTTATTTTTTTAAAACTTAACTTTCTGAACAGTTGAATCCAAATTAGCGCTACAGGTGCCGATCATGTTTCAGCTTCAGATTTTTCTAATGTATGTGTTTCGTCGTATTCTTCGTTAGGTGTAGTAAATTATATGTAGGAACGTGCAGATAAAGGGATTTTATCAAAATTTCTCACCACCACCACATTTAAGAAGAATTGAATGAAGAGGGATATTGCTTAGCAAACTTTCGTATTTTTATCTTTATACATAAGGAAACGTCCCTTAGGATATAAGACATAATTAACAATATCATATTAAAGTTGTTTTTAAAGAGAATTCTAATAACGTCTTTTGTATTAAAGTTTTTCTAATATTGAAAACAAATCGAAAGTTAGCTTTTATTCAGAATGTTCGCCCGAAAGTGTTCACCTAACAATAAAGACACAACAGTCTTTCAGGGTGAAATGTTCGAATATGCATCGCCTCTACTCTTATCACAGTTTATAAAGTTAATGTATAAAAAAAAGAAATAGAGTTCCACTTTGTCGACAGCTACATATTATCCTCTTACAAATATAAAAGATTAAAAGACGCAGTTGTATTTACATTGGTGATTAATTAAAACATGTCAACTGAGATCTGTTACTCCGATGAGGAAGCTCTATCACGCCGGAGCAGCTTACCTATTTATTGTAAAACTAAACTTATTCAGCATAGACCTAGAAAGTGCAATTTATTTGAAAGCTCCCCGTATAAAATTAATAAAGGAAAGTTGGAATATAATCCAATTCTAATAAGCGACCTTGCTAATGGATTCATTAAAAAAACAGAACGGCATTTCAGCAAAATCCGTCGAAACTGTCAATTCAAATTCCAAGGATTAAATTCGCACCAAATTGCGTTATTAACTTTTGCTTCCCTCCATATAATATTTTCGCGTTTAAGTCATAACAAATCCGCCAAATTATTAAAATTTGTTTTATCCTCAACATGCAAATTTTCGCTTGCCGTAACGCGTGTAGTCCTGTGGGGTCTTTCCCGCCGTACTACGTGATATTGTCATATTCAGTTACTTCATGTATAATTCTCTTGAGCGTATGCTTTTACAAATCCTCCAGCCAAGAACAATACAATTTTGCACTGTTTATTTTTATTTCAGATCCTTGCACGAATTCTGATATTAACTCTAAAGCAAATTCAGGTTGTTAAGCTGATTGCATGTAGCACAGTTTACATTTTATCCGACTTCGCTTTCCAAATTTAATTAGGTTATTCAAATTCTATGCAACAAATCAAAATTACTAAACCGTATTAGCCTGCCCTACCGTGATGTAATATGATTAGGTCCTCTTCTTGAGCAAACGAGTTTTCCATTTCTTATTATTTACCGTGTAAGTTTATGTCTTACGGCTTACTGTAAAAAAACAAATAATTCGAACGATATATACAATTATGACCAAAGCATTTATAATGTAACAGGGGATAAAGTTATAAAAGGGTCTATGATTCCTTCTTTTTCACATTTACGATTTACTGAAAGCTTGTGCCAGGTTCTTGTAAAAAGGAAATCGTGCAGTGAAAGAAATGTCATATTAAGAATTTTTAAGATTATAGACCTTTTCCGCGCGTCAAAGCTTCTATAAAACTATATAGCACGTATTAGGGACACGTGCGCTTAGGGTCCCATAAGTCCCATCTGGTTCTTGACGAACGATTTCATAGTTGATATTCATATGCATACTATTGATGTTACCTCCTCGTCCATAAAATCCAAATGCAAATCTTTTTTTGGTTAATCCCTGAATGTTTGCAATGAAAACTTTT